GTCTCCGCGTGAGGCTCCCTGAGGCGGAGGCACGGTCGCCTTTCCCCTGCGCTTGGGCTTCGGGAGGAGACAGAGCGAGAGCAAAGGAGGGAAGCGCTGCCAGGAGGATGTGGAGGCGGCGGCGGAGGAGGTTACCGCTCCCGCCGCCTTCCACGTCCCCTTGGTGCTGGCGCTGCGCGGCGGGCGACGGCGCGCTCTTCTCGCTCTTGCTGCTCCTGGCCTCGCTGGTTGGGACTTTGCGCGCCTTCAACCTGGACCAGGAGAAGCTCACCGTCTACAGCGGCCCCGAAGGCAGCTACTTCGGCTACGCGCTGGATTTCTACAGCCCTGCGCCGCACGCGTAAGTAGCGCCGGGCTTTGACAGAGACGGATAGGGATGCTGCGCTGACTCCCAGGCTCCCGATTATTGCCAGCGGAGAAACGACTCGGTCCGGCACAAGAGCATCATCATCATCGCCGCCACCACCATATAGTGATAATTAAGCTATGCCTAGGGCTCCTGGACCCGGCTCATATATTGCAGTCCCCGACAGATCCATTAAGAAGGAAGAGGCACTCGATTTTTATGGACATATAGTGCACTTTTCTCTCCTTCTAGGAGATCCGGTTATCTTTTCCCTATGCACGCGTGCCTTGCTCAGACGCGCATCCAGCGAGGTATCCCGTGCAAGCGCGCACACGACTGCAACTCTACAAGGCAGTTCTGTGCGGGTTTACTGAGAAAACAGATAGATTCCGTAAGGTAAACCTCTAAGTAAATGCGTATTGCAGAGTCTGCAATCTGCTGTTCGCGTTTTCCTAGTGCGGAGACCCATTGAAATCAATGCAACTTCTGAATTAGACACTTCTGAGCCTTGTGCTGTTAAAAGTACAGGTCCGGGGGGGGGGCTAACATCTGTGTGAGAAGCCCCATAAAACTTGTGATGTGACCTCTATAACAATACTCTAGAGCAGGGATTCTTAACGTGTCTTTCATGGATAGACCCCCAAGTGGTCAAGGAATTGAACACTTCCCCCCCCTTCCATTTCTTGTTTCTCCAAAAATATTCTTAGTGGGAAAGAATTGCCAAACTGTGTGCTAAAGTTATAATTCTTGGGAGAGGGGCTGAAGCTTCCATCATATTTTCAAAAGAGTCTGTGACCAAAAGAAAAAAAAAGTTTAAGAACCACAGTTTCGGAGCAAATTTTGAGTTTATTTGCAACCTCCTCTAAATCATTTTTGAACTCCCAGAGAATTCATGGATGCTATGAAAATCACTGCAGATTTTAAAAACAATTCCAGCATCTCTTGAATCTTTAACTGTGCTGTGGCTCATGCAAACAGGTCACAATGCACCACATGGTTAGATTACTCTGGAACAGTGTCACACACCAGAAGTTTACAAATGAATGAAGTCTTCATTGTGAATTAATGTGATTTTTGGTTGTGCTGAGATAAACAGAAACTATGCAAATAGAGAATCAAGTAGGAACATATGTCAGGCTGTGACAGGTGAATGAATATAATTAGTCAGTCTGAGAGAATCAGCTATTTGAACTTTACCCCAGAGATAACCTGATGTAGTCCCTCCAGAACATAAGATGTATACATTCTCAACTCATGAGAAGGCCTGTCCATTTCAATGGAGCATCCATGAAGTTGGGACAGAGCAAGAGGTGAGTGGGTGGGTGTGATGGAGAGGTTAGCAGGTGAGATGCTTCCAGGCAGAAAATTCCTACTTCTCACAATGAAATGATATTGTTCAGGTATTCTCTATTTTTTCTTCTTTGCCTGCTTTGTCAAGTAAGAAATACGATGAAATAAATAACGAGAAAATCTGGAAAGGGTTCCAAACTGAAGGTGGTGGTGTCAGTGCCGCCAACAAACATTCATGAATGAAACAATACAATTTTTCAATAAAACTCTTGTATGGAAGTCTTCTGTGTTGATACGCATTTTGAAGATAACTTAAAGGAAATTTCTGCTGATTCAGCTCTATTACATACAGCATGACTAAAGTCGGTTGCTTTGTCTTAACTGGGCAAGAAATCAAAAAGCTGCTCTTTGATTTTAAGAAAACAGCTGTTTTCTCCTGATAGTTGCATTGTGGATTATTTCCTTAGACTTCAGTGGGGCTTCAGAGAAATCCTCCTGTCACTAGCTATGTATTGCTGTGATTTAATAGATTGGGCAGAACTGCTTCAAAGAGGCGACCATATGAACAGAGCATGGAAAAATTAATTTTATGGACTACAAGTCTCCAGGCTGGGAGTTGTACACAAAAACATAACATTTCCAAGCCCTGAAAACATGTCCAGCCAACCATGGGTTTGCACATGTATATCATTTGATCTCTGCACTATTGATTGTAAGATGATTGAATTCAATGAATTACCATTTCCCTCCACTATATTTTATTTACACTTGTCAGCTGAAAACTCGTAGGCCCTCTGAGTCTGTTGCTGAGAGATCAGCAATATAATTGCTGAATCAAGTGATCTTTCACCAGAATGAGAAACCTGCCAGAGACATTAGATGCCACGGTGACCAGGGATTTGAAGGAAGATGTTAGAAGGTAGAACTGTGTGTTTTAAACAAACTGCTTTATACGCGCAAAGCTAGTCTTCTGTGATGTAATGGTGCAAGCATCACCTGTGTGATGGAGCAAGCATCACTTGTGTTGAAGTCTGTTTGGCTTCTATTATGTGAAATGTTGCAGAGGAAATACATTATCACATCCTTCAATTCAGGCAGCAAAATATCTTAGGACAGCCTTGCTCTTGCTTTAAGGGTTTAATTACTCTTATCAAGCTTTTTCTGCCATCTACGTTGGCTTTTTCTTGGAATGTGCATTTGCACTGAAATAGGTTTGTTCTTGAACTTTCACAAACTGCATCAGACACATAGGTATTAAGCAGAAGTGTCATATTTGTGCAGTTGATGATAACTGCCAGTTAATGATAACTGCCACACTTCCCCAGGCAGCATGCACACAAATCTTGCACACCTTTAGTCTTAAGATTATGGCATTACAACGAGTAACATGTCATCACCATAATCATCATCAACATGTTCTGACTTCTGGCAATCATTTTCGAGCTTTTCCAGGTAGAGAATACTCAGAAGCGGTTTACTATCCCCATCATCTGGGGGCAACCTGGGATGTACAGCTTTCCCAAGGCCACACAGGATGGCTAATTGAACTCTCAACCTCTGGCTCCACCACTGATCTGTCCAGCCAACTAAGCAACATATCAATGAAAAAAATGGAAGCTGACTTTCCAGTGGTCAAAGTTGTGAGCAAAAGCCACAATTACCAGGAAATCTGATGCTCTTACCCATGACTGGCTATGCTTCTGTCGTTTTGTGAGCAAACAGGTTCCCAGGAAGAGTGTTGGAAAAACAATGTTTAGGCCAATAGCTGTCTCTGCCTCTTTTTTTTGTAAATCTTCTTGATGATCTCATCATGAGCACTAGGAGGCATGGAACCAAAATGCTCTAATTTCATCAAAAAACAGAAAACAGAAAAATGAGGGGAGAAGAGATTCTGTGCTATCACCTGGGGACATATAATAATTATAATTACTCTTTGCACAATCAAAAAAGTTGTTATAGCTATTGGGCTACCATTCTACAAGCAGGCACTTCTCAAGTAGAATAACTAGCACAGATACTTGAGAGTCATTTTCTATCTTTCATGATTTTCCCCCCTCTGTATTCTCCAGAGTCAGTGTCCTCATAGGAGCTCCAAAGGCCAACACAACTCAGCCAGACATCGTGGAAGGAGGAGCAGTCTACTATTGTCCCTGGCCAGCTGTCGAGTGTAAACAGATCCCCTTTGATACTACAAGTAAGTCAAATGGCATTGTACCACCATCGGCATGGGAACATTCTGGTGAGATTCAATATTTACAGGATTGCCCTACCTGTGAAAACAGGTTGTATGCTTTCTCCAGTGTTTTGTAGTTAATGGTCCTCACAGAAACAACAGTGGGATGACCTCTAGAGCTTGCACTCATATGCTGTACCTTAACTAAGTAGTCTGATTTCCCCCCTTTGTCTTTCCACATTATGTGGTTTACAGTGGACTTATAGATACATATGAGTGTGTGTTTCAAACAGAGTTTTACATAATGAATCCTTGGTTCAGTGTTCCTTTCCAAAGTTGCAATCTGCATGTTTTGGTGTTTAACACTACTCTCTACCAGCAATGTTCTGTCCAAGTTAAGTGACCCAAAATGTACACTGTAGAGCATTCAGTTCTTTTCAGAAAAAGAAAAGGAATAGAGGCTGGGTAGAAACCAATGTAGGAATAATATGGGTTACATACAATTCAAACTCACCCCCCATCCAACAGATGGTTTCTATTTAATTAAAGGGAAAACACATTTGAGACAATTTGGACTGTTTATGTTTTCTGTTGTTCTCCCTTTATGGCCCTTGAAAAACATTTACTGCTAGTGTCTTCTGAAGCATTAAAATTGAAAGGTTTCAATTTAGACATATCTGATCTTTAGAAGTGATGGCTATGATTCATCAAACTCAATTTAAATTTCATGGGACTTTGATGAATGCACGAGTTTAACAAATTTATTCTTGTTGTTGTTGTTTAGTTGTTAAGTCATGTCCGACTCTTCCTGACCCCATGGACCAGAGCACGCCAGACCCTCCTGTCTTCCACTCCTCCTGGAGTTGGGTCAGATTCATGTTGGTAGCTTTGATGATACTCTCCAACCATCTTGTCCTCTGTCACCCCCTTCTCCTCTTGCCCTCACACTTTCCTAACATCAGAGTATCTTCCAGGGAGTCTTCTCTTCTCATGAGATGGCCAAAATGCTGGAGCCTCAGCTTCAGGATCTGTCCTTCCAGGGAGCACTCAGGGTTTATTTCCTTTAGAACGGATAGGCTTGTTCTCTTTGCAGTCCAGGGAACTCTTAAGAGTCTCCTCCAGCATCACAATTCAAAAGCATAAATTCTTTGGTGGTCAGCCTTCTTTATGGTCCAGCTCTCACTTCCATACATCGCTACTGGAAAAACCATAGCTTTGACTATGTGGACTTTTGTTGGCAAGGTGATGTCTCTGCTTTTTAAGATGCTTTTGAGGTTTGTCATCACTTCCCTCCCAAGAAGCAGGTGTCTCTTAATTTTGTGGCTGCTGTCGCCATCTGCAGTGATCATGGAGCCCAGGAAAGTAAAATCTGTCACTGCCTCCATATCTTTCTTTGGGATTGGGATGTAGACTGATCTTTTCCCGTCCTCTGGCCACTGTTAAGTTTTCCAAAATTGCTGGCATATTGAGTGCAGCACCTTAACAGCATCATCTTTTAAGATTTTAAATAGTTCAAATAGAATGCCATCACCTTCTTCAGATCTCCTTCAGGCACAAATACAAAAGCTGGAAGTAAAACTTTGCTTGCCTGCACAGACAGCATGCAATCTCTCAAAAGGCAAAAAGGGGCTCTGCATGAGTAAATAGTGTAATTGATAATTAGGCTTTTCTCCACCACACATGAAGTCATGTGAGACAAAGAAGTTAGTCTTAAGAGATTATGCAGACTCTTGTAGTGACTCACAAAGAAGCAGTGGTTGGCTTTTATTAAATATGTGTGCACGTGTATGTGCATGTGTGGTTCCTGCACACACGATACAATGACCATGCTCTGAATGGTGGAATCGGAGATCTTTGAGGCTTTATTTTGGAATTGTCATCACATTCTACAAAGTTTCAGTGCTAGGTCTGAAGAAGTAGGTTCCTCCTCATGTGTAGGCACTACATGTGAGTGTGGACCCTGGAAAATGTAGCTTGCATGTAGAGCTTACACACAAACAGAAGTCTTTTCTTCAGATCTCATGCTGGAACCTTGAAAAGTGTTGCCTGTGCAGAATAGTACCAACGGCTGCTCTAAGCATGCTCACAGCCTCAAATAGTGTAATGCCTGGTGAGGGCTTTTGAGGACAGGCCAACAGGGACACAGAAGTGCCAACGGGAGATAGGTTTGATTTGGTGATAGGCTGATTTACTGGGTCTTACAGCAAGGGGGCAGGAGAGAGATGGAGATCTACTGGTTGAGCTCTGTACTAATTTTGTGGGCTAAAGTGCAGTCTGCCTCCAAGTTGATTAACAGCTGCATCACCAAAACAGTTTTCTCTCGCCCTCATACCTTTTAAATCAGATTTCTGAAGAAAGCTTGACTGGAAAACCAGAAGTGAATTTGGTTCTTAATTCTAAGTGTATGTCTACCATTGCTACCCCAGCCAGTATATTGCATCTGGTTCTCTTTGGTAGACACTGGAAAAACAAAGTAGATTTCTCAAGCCCTTCTCTTCTGCAGCAGAAATACTAGCCCACATGGAACATGTTGGGGAAGTACAATTTGGCATGCTTCTCCTTTAACACTGGTTTTCTATGGGGAGAATGCTCTGTATTAGACACTAAACTTAAAGGATACTCCCCCATGCTGCTCTTTCCTTTTGTTAGCTGCCTTTCCTTTCTTCTCCATTTTCTGCTCTCTGCAGATAGACATCTAGAAATGTAGCTGCACTCTCTACATATAAAAGAACAAAGCCATGAATTGTAAGTAAAAGTTTGTCTCCTTTCACCAAGAAGCATCTGAACTGGTCGTTTTTAACTTATCCAAGGGAAAGGATGAGAATAGGGTAAAACAATAGATCTTTCCATGCTTTTCTCTGCACTGAAAAGGGAATAGCCCAATTCCAAACCTCTTCAACAGTCTAGTGTGGTTCTGGAGGCTAATTAGGATCAGGTGTGGTTATCATTTGGATGGGAAATGAGCAAAGAATGGCAGGTATATAATAGACAGGGTCAGTAGCTCAGTGATACAGCATACATTTTCATGAGAAAATCCCAGGTTCAATTCCCAGTATCTCCAGATAGGATTCAGAAAGATTTCTGCTGAAAGTCCTGGAGAGCTGCTGCCAGGCAGAGCTGACCATACAGGGTTAAATGGATCAGTGTTCTGACTTGATTTAAAGCAGTTCCTCATGATCCTTAATATGAAGCTAAAATTTCTGCGGCAATAGCCAAGGTAAGAATGTAGCAGAACTGTGGAAGATGCTTTAACATGGTATCTACCTGGTAGAGAGACCTCTACCAAGAGGCAAGCTAGGAGCTGCGCTCCATCTGACCAGGGTGAGGAGAAGCCACCTTTGCCAGGCCAGCTCTATCCCCTGCTACTCATGATAGTGCTTTTGGATGGGGCACAGCCTGTAAGGATGGCAGACTCCGGAGATAGAAAGACACATGAACACCAGTCTTGGGCTAAGCTGCCCAGCTCCAAGACACAAGGTACAAACCATGTTTCATCTGCAATATTGTTTCACGGATTTCTGCCTTGTCATGGCAAAGAGGCTTGAGTAATTCAGA